CAATGAGAGAGTTGTCACCCTGAGACATGTGCAGTTCGTTTCATTCCGAATCAAGGTTCGGACGAATTTTCCGTTATTCCAAGATGTCAATGTATCCAAATTTCCAATTACAATAGTAATGAATTTAAATGAATCTTAAATACCAAAACTAAATTTGCCTGAAATTCAGATTGATTCGAATTCGAAAACACATTAAAAAACAAAGTCAATTTCAAAAACAAATTAGAAAAACAATTTGAATTTGAAAACAACAATAGAATAAAATAGAACAGAAAATAAAGGTGTAGAGAAGAATAGAATAGAAAAAGAATCGAATAGAATAGAATGGAAAACAATAGAGGGGAAAAAGAACAGAATACAAAATAAAAGAACAGAACAGAATAAAGTAGAAAATAAAGGAATAGAAAATAATAGAATCCATTAGAATAGAATGGAAAAGATTAGAACAGAAAATCAAGGAATAGAATAGAAAAGATTAGAACAGAAAATCAAAGAATAGAATAGAAAATAATAGAGTAAAACAAAATAGAACAGCACATAAAGGAATAGAATAGAGTCAATTAGAAGAGAATAGAACAGAAAAGATTAGAATAGAAAATCAAAGAATAGAATAGAGAAGAATAGAAAAGAGTAGAACAGAAAATCAAAGAATAGAATAGAAAATAATAGAGTAAAACAAAATAGAACAGCACATGAAGGAATAGAATAGAGTCAATTAGAAGAGAATAGAGCAGAAAAGATTAGAATAGAAAATCAAAGAATAGAATAGAGAAGAATAGAAAAGAGTAGAACAGAAAATCAAAGAATAGAATAGAAAATAATAGAGTAAAACAAAATAGAACAGCACATAAAGGAATAGAATAGAGTCAATTAGAAGAGAATAGAACAGAAAAGATTAGAATAGAAAATCAAAGAATAGAATAGAGAAGAATAGAAAAGAGTAGAATAGAAAATCAAAGAATAAAATAGAAAAAACATAATAGTATATAAAAACAATACAATAGAATAAAATAGAAAGACTGTAACTGTCTGCGGAAATTACAATTTTGAATAGAATGAATTTGAATTCAAACAGAATACATTAGAATAGAATATAAAATAATAGAAAATAATAGAATAGAAAAACATACGCTTTTATCGGAGTTTAGGAGTTGCCACGTTTAGGTGAGGTTAAACTTCCATCTCCTGAAAGCGGAAGAATCGCATTTAGGATAGGAACGTTTTGACCGCCGCCTGTGGGAAAACGCAAAATGCTGCAAAACTGTAACAAAGATGCAGTACTGCGGTTGCCGCATTTTGCATTTTCTCGCGTCAGGATAGGTTTCTGTACATGAAGCCTTAAGCATCTCTGAAGCAGCCCAGAAACATCTCAGAAGGCTATCAAAACAACCAAAGAGCAGCATGAAGCGACTTCTAAACTACTCAGAAGTACCACAGAAGGAATTTGAAATTAGTTGTAATCAGGTTAAAACTATACAAACAGCTATCCAGCATAAAAGCATTCTCAATTCGACTTGCTTCTGGGTCTGTAGCCCGTGAAGGCAAGCATTTAATCAGGCTCAAAAACACAACAAATTTTGTAGCACTGAACTAAAAATTAATAGATTTTCTAATTAATTTTCATAAGCTTCATTGTAAAGACTGTTAAACAACATTGAGAAGTGTAATTTTTTTCATTTTTTTTATTTCCTAATAACATTGTATGTTTCATTCGGCCTCCTTTTGCCTTGATAAGCAGACTCTACCAGTTTTGCAGCTGGTATGAAAATAACCAATGGACTAATAAAAGTTAGAGTAATGGGAATTCAAATCAATACGTCCGAGGATGACAAGACATTTTTGATATGTTTTTGTTTCCACCTGGAAATGGCACTTGACCCCATATCACCTGGATCCATGGGATGAGGGAACTTTTGCAAGTCATGAAGTTCCCGGATGGTTTCAGCATGCAGTTTAGCCTACCATCCATGTGCTTAAGCATGTCCCTTACATGCCACATGTCTGCGGCATGCATGTGAGGGGTTTGATGAAATTTTCTTTGCCCACTTCGCTCATGACCCATGTGAGAGAACTTAGTAAGAAAAGCTCATTTTGAAAGCATGCAGTGAGCATGGTCATGTTTAAAGTATATCTCCATCTTTCTAACTATTGATCCAGTAAATCAGAGCAGTGAAATGATAAACTCTATAAATAATAATCATTACCTATGCAAAACAAAACTCTGAAATCTCTTAGCTTGGGACAGTGGACTCCTGGAATAAAATATGCAATGATTATTATTTACATCAGTTGTTTTGCTGCTCTGTCTTAGCTACACAATAAAAAAAAGATGGAGTTACTCTTTAAAGGCTCAGTCCTAAAATACAAATTAATTATTTAGGTCATGCAGAACCTCTGTGGCAGAAAAATGTGTTCCACAGTGTCCATTTTCTAAGACAACTTGTCCCTACTAGGACCAAAGTGTTCTAATGATAATGCTTATCATAGGGCTAAATCTTTCAGCAACTTCACAAGATATGCACAGTATTGTATTGCAGACAAGATGCTGCAGATATCATTGCTAAATATTTAAATTTATTTTGCTGTAATTGAAAAATCAGGGATGAAAGCAGTTTTTTGTGGTTTTCTTTAAAAAGTCTGGCACTTTTGCTGAGAACAGCCAACCAGATTCTATTTAAAGTGTCCACATACATCCATGGAAGATTTATTGTATGCTTACTGTGGCTTGTGGATTTCCTAATGAAGCTCAGAGGTTCAAGAGTGATATGTACTTTGGGTTTTTAAAGCCACCTGAACAGTACGGAAATTTCTTGAAACTTGTGTAGATAAATAATATCAACAGGCTAAAGTCAGAAGACTCTTGGTGGTAATTTGCTTTCATTTAACTTAGCTTCATTTAATTTTGTAGCAAAGATTTTTGGGATTTCTGCATCCTTTAGTTTAATAAAAAATAATGTTTTGATTAATATTCAAATCCTCAACTCTTTCTGGCCAATAAAATAATGAAATTGCAAGACTTAATATATGGAATATTAGTTCACTTGGGTCCTAGAAAGAAACATCTTTGATCAAGCAGTACTGCAGGACTGAGCTTTAAACCCTTCAGGTGTCAGCGTTTGGGCACGTTATCTTTGACATCAAATGAGGTTGGGGGAATCCAGCCTATAATACATTCACTTGAAAATGCTGCATGACAGGCGTTTTAGAATTTAGAAAAAAAAATCTCCCCTGCTAGACTAACTTACTCTGCTCTTCCTCTGTTTACTCTCCCCGGCAGGTACCATGACAAACAGGAGGTGACCAGTAACTTCCTGGGTGCCATGTGGCTGATTTCTATAACGTTCCTGTCAATTGGTTATGGAGACATGGTGCCTAACACATATTGTGGAAAGGGAGTCTGTCTACTAACTGGCATTATGGTAAGACAATAAAGCAGTTGAGCTGCATTCACATCATTCATTCCCCATTGTCTTCCTGCTTCTCTCTGTCGTCCCTTCCTCCCTCCATCCTTGTAGTACCTTAGATCCTACCCCATATTTCTTGCCTAATTTCTATCTCAATTCATGTTTTTTTTCTTCTTGTTCCATGTCTGCAGTGAGTATTTCCTTTCCTTCCACAGGGTGCAGGCTGCACAGCTCTGGTTGTTGCCGTTGTTGCAAGAAAGTTGGAACTCACCAAAGCTGAGAAACACGTACACAACTTTATGATGGACACACAACTTTCAAAGCGGGTACTTAGCAGCTGGATGGGCTGGGAATGGGGTGGCTTGTGATGGGTAATGTTAGAAATTTGGATGGTTGAAAAGCATTGTCTGCCACTTGGCTGGTAACATAGTTTCTTTGTGACTTTGGAAAAACAACCCTTTTAAGGACAAAATACTTAGGGGTCTATTAAGAAACGTTTTCACACAAAGTTGACTGAATCTGAAAAAGTGTGTGGATCTTAGGTGAAGGCTTTGTGAACCTTGGGTGAAAACATAAATAAACCCCTAGTATTTACAGTTCCATATACCTTCTCCTAAATGTATAGAAGAATGAAGAAAAATAGTAGTCGTGTGCAGCCCTGTTCCTACTCCTCAGAATTCTTAACTGTCAGGCCCCTTTAACACAAATGTTCTGATTGGGTTCGACTGTCCGCTTTTCAGGTGGACCCAATTGGAACCTCCATTGTTCTCTATGGAGCGCCAGGTATATAGAAACATTGTCCCTTTACACCCACCTACATCCAATCCAGGCCACCAAAAACAGACGGATGATGATCCATTTCCCCTTTTTTGTCCAGCAGATCGGATGGCAGCTGGTGTTAACGGACAGGCATTCCATTTACATCCAGCTTGCCCATAGAGGAGAGCGGGCTGTGTCCCTGTCTGCTCAGCATTAGTGGAGGGGAAATGGACCTGTCATGAGCCTACTCATCGGGGAGTAGCAGTCAGATCCCCTGCTGAGCAAGCAAATTGCAGTTGGAGTCTGCCCTGTGTGAAAGAGGCCTCACTGGGGGGGAGTGAGCACAGACATTGCATGGTTCTTTCTGATTCCTAGTGAGCTTAAAGAGACCCTGTTCTCAGACCACTCTTTTCAAAATAAATCTTCCATCAGATTATATGTATATTTAACAAATTTTATGTATGTTATTTATCTGGAAAAGCCTCCCTTGGATAGACATCCAAAAGTCCCAATACTGCTGCTGGACACCACTATCTTGGATATTATATCAGCAGCCCCAGCATACTCAGAGCTATTACTCATGTGACACCCTATAGTTTTCCCCTGTGCTCGTCCTGCAGATGCTACGTAAAAAGTTCTGTAGGGAGGTGAAGGGAGAGGTCGAGGAGCAGGACCAGCACAAAGTAATTAGACACTTCAAGAAGAGAAGAGGACTATGACATGCAAGAAGACTGTGTTAAGGACAGGGGCGGACTGACCATTCTGGTACTCGGGCACTGCCCGAGGGCTCGGGGTCAGTAGGGGGCCCCATGAGATGCCCTTGGTACCTTTTCATAGTTTTTTTGGGTGTGGGTGAGGACACAGGGGCCCCATGATCCCCTATTGCCCGGGGGCCCCATGAGTTGTCAGTCCACCCTGTTAAGGAATTGACTGTTCTGCAGTAGTCAGATTTTCAAAGTTTAAAGGCACATCGCAAGTAAATAAAAAATAATTATGGAAAGGAAAAACACTAAGCATGTTTAAATACTTATACCTGAAATTTTAAATTGGTGAAAGGGTCACTTTAACTTCAATCTGCCATGACAGAATATGGGGGCCAGAGCTGTGGATAAGGGCGTACCACCAGTCCTCCCGTACAGGGCCCAAGCAAGCAGGGGGGGCCCAGGCATCTGGGTAAAGATGAGGGCAGAGCAGAGGGTGATCAGCATGGCGGGGGGGAATTACTGGAACCGATCCTCCAAACGGCTCTCTCTGCAACAGCTGAAAGCTGGCTTCTTCTCCCTTTCCTCTCCCTGATTTTCAGTTGGTGAAAGAGTTTTTTAGCTGCTGCAGAGAGAGTCATACAGGGGATTGGTTCCAGTAATTTCCCCTTCATCACCCTCCTTGTGCACCATATGTTTCCCCTTGCTGCCCAGCCCCCCCCCCCCCTAGTGTACCTCCCCTCCCCCTGTAGTGCTGCCAGATTCCCTCCTCTACTTTCCATCGGCAGTTGCGAGCACACAATAGATTCCTTCAGGATGGAGATTATGGGAAGGGCCTGGTAAATATGTCATTTACAAGCCTCTTCATTTTCTGCATGAACACAATTAGTGGTCAGTACTGATCACTCACTGTGTTCATTCATAATTGAAGCATAGTAAACTGTGTTTTTTTGGAGGGTGAGGGGCCCTGTCACTTTGGCTGTATGGGGCCCCGTGGTTTCTAACAGCAGCCCTGATGGGGGCTGCCTTTGTTGACCCCCTTCTGAAAATGCTAGTTTCTTGGCTGCTGCTATCAATGTTCTCTGAGTCACTAACCTTGAACAAGTATGCAGATATAGATATTTAGATTAAAATCTTTATCTGCATTTTCATGCATAGCAAAACAGTGTCAGTCTTTATGTTGCTGTGACAACAGGTTTTCTTTAAGGATGGTCAAACACTGACAGCAAATTATTCCGATTGTCTGGTTAAGGCAGTCTTCTAATTTGTCTGGAATCTTTACTTGCTTCAAAAATAGCAATAATGTTGTTATTAGGTTATATTTTGGAATATAGAACGCTCTACGATTAGAAAGTACAAATTTTGTTTAGGCCAGTGTTTTCCTTTGAAGGAATAAGTTATGGTCAGTTTTATTTATTTATTTATTTATTTATTATGTTTTCAATTGTATAAACTTATGTTTTCTTTTATTTTATCTATATTTTTTAAAAGCTTTACTGTATTTTAAGAAAGCCTAGCACTGCCTGCATACTTATTGGTAGCCTTTATATGACTGACTAATCCAGAAGAGTCCATCTCAGCTAAAATGGGAAGAGTCATACAAGTATGTGTAATCAAATCTCTGTATTTCACATCGGAAACAGATTTTTAACTTCTAGAATGAAGCTATTCTACTTGATAAACATCACCTGCAGCCTTCAAGTGAACTAAAAATATTTGGGTAACGTTTACCCGCAAAGGAGCTTCTGGAATTTTGTGAGCTCTCCAGCTTTCTTTCATGTGACGTATCGGGGTTTATTTACTAAAGCTGGAGAGTCCAAAATCAGACTCCCTTCTGCATAGAAACCAATCAGCTTCTAACCTCAGCTTGTTCAATGAAGCTTTGGCAATGAAACCTGGAAGCTGATTGGTTTCTATGCAGAAGGGAGTCTGATTTTGGACTCTCCAGCTTTAGTAAATAAACCCCATCCTGTCAACAGAGAGACAGAGTTTTAATCTTCTTTTGATAATTTCTGCTCAATTATTTTGAGAAGAGAAGGTTACAGCTACAGGATACACAAAAAAGATACAGGATACAGCAAAGATCCATCAGCATAGCAGACTTCTCCAATAATTATTTAGATTTAAATAAGCAACTATCTTCCAGTTTCTTTAACCTCTCTCACAGGTCAATTTAGATTCTGTACGACCAGAAGGGAAACTACTTTCTAGGTTCTAGCCCAGGGGTGGGAAAACTTTTTGACTTGAGGGCCGCAATGGGTTCATATATTGGACCCGGGGGCCGGACCAAGAGTAGATGAATGATGTGTATGTGTCATCCATAGTAAGTATAGTAATATTCCCCCATAGTAAGCATAGTAATTAATCCCCCATATAGTAATTCATCCCCCATATAGTAATTCATCCCCCATAGTAATTCATCCCCCCTATAGTAATTCATCCCCCCTATAGTAATTCATCCCCCATATAGTAATTCATCCCCCATAGTAATTCATCCCCCATAGTAATTCATCCCCCATAGTAATTCATCCCCCATATAGTAATTCATCCCCCATAGTAATTCATCCCCCATAGTAATTCATCCCCCATATAGTAATTCATCCCCCATAGTAATTCATCCCCCATATAGTAATTCATCCCCCCTATAGTAATTCATTCCCCATATTAATTCATCCCCCATATTAAATCCCCAAGTCCCCCCTGTGTCAATTCACTTACCTTTGCTCCACGCGTTCCTCTCGCCGTGTTCCTGCGCCGTTCCGGTGTAGCATGAAAATCTGTCTCCTATGAGGATCTGTCCCCCTCGAAGTATCTGCGCATGTGCCAGTTTCAGGCATTAGCAGCCGATCGGCGATCTCCGGCACATGCGCAGATACGTCGAGGGGGACAGATCCTCATAGGATACAGATTTTCATGCTACACCAGTCTTCAGGGCGGACTGTGAGAGGAGCCTAGCGGGAGCCTAGCTCCGCGGGCCGGATTAAAAGGTCCGCCGGGCCGTATACGGCCCGCGGGCCGTAGTTTGCCCATTGCTGTTCTAGCCTCTGTCGCAGGCCAGCCTAGATTCTGTAGGTCCAGGTTCAGGCCCCCATTAAAACAAAGTTCTTTTTTTGGCTTCCTTCCCCAGACAAAAATAAATGAAAGTCAGCAGCTACAAAACCTGTAGCTGCTGACTTTTAAAATACAGCCACTTTAACATATTTAAAATACAGCCACTTACCTGTCCCTCGGTCCAGCGGTGTCTTCACCACCGCTGGTTTTACCGGCCGTCTTCTCTCCCTAGCGCTGACATCTTCAATGCGGGCACCTGGCTGTGACAGCTTTCGGATTCACAGCCGAGTGCCCACTGCACATGTGCGAGAAGCGCTGCGCTTTGTGAATGGTCCCGTAGTCTTCTGGGACCTGTCAGACTTTGGGGAGGGCAACTTCCGCTTCCTAGGCGATCGCAGTGGAAGTGAGAGCGGGTACCTGTCAAATTCGGGTACCCGCTCCCAAAGGTGCCAATCCTCAATGGGGACAATGGCTTAAAGTGGAATTTCCTCTTTTGGGTGGAGCTCCGCTTTAATTATGACCTGTTTACACCCTACAGAGGTGTGTAATTGGTCATTATGAGAGGAATAGAAGTACTGCATATTGTACTTGATTTACTGTTGCTGTTTTACCATTTGGGCAAACCATTTGTTTATCTAAAATGGTTCTAAAAGCAAGACATTTTTTACCTTAATGCATTCCCTGCATTAAGGTAAAACATGTCCTAGTATTTATATCGCCCCCTCACCTGCATAAATACTTACCTGAGCCCTATCTCGATCCAGTCCTGTGCCTGAGTGCAGCAGCGCTGCTCCCTCTCTTTACAGGATTCAGTGAGAGAAGCCATCGGCCAAGAGCTGTGTTGGTCTATAGATGTGCACAGCTTGGCTGGGGAGCAAGCCTGCAGGTGTGCCCCCATAGGAAGCAACTTCCTGTGGTGGTTCATCAAGAGGAGGAGGAGCCCAAGAGCGCTGGCATGGGACCCCAGAAGAGGACGTTTGGGGCCAGGTAAGTATAACATGTTTGTTATTTTAGAAAATAAAAATTAGGCTTTACAATCACTTTAACATTGTACTGTATTTATGATGGCTTTGGCAGGGTACTTTACTGGAAGGGACATTACTGTATACTGTATTGCAACAATATATTGTGCAATATTGTGCTACCGAAGTCCATTTCTGAATAGAACTACTACAGCTTCCACTGTACATTTCATATACCATATACAAGGAAAGCCATACTAGCCCTGATCTCCATCCAATAAGTAGGTCTGTTCAATGTACTGTATACAAGTCTCTATTATGAGCAGGTTGGGAACTGGAAATGGGCACTGCACAAACCAATCAGCCATAAAGTACCTGTACAGCATCTGAATTGCAGTATACAATTCATGTTGTGCTCAAAGAATTCATGAGTTTTTGTTGAGTATGCAATAAAATAATGAATTGTCTGGTACACCAAAGCTGTTTTATGTTTTGGAAACCTCTGGAAAGTTATAGTGTAATTCAGAATATTTGGTCTAGTAACTACCTATATGTTTGTACAGGAGTAAACAATAAAATATACACTTCAAGGGGTCCATTTATACACTCACTAGCATCTTTATTAGGTACACCTGTTCAATTGCTTGATAACACAAATTGCTAAACAGACAATCACATGGCAGCAACTCAATACATTTAGGCATCTAGATGTGGTTAAGACTACATGCTGAATTTCAAACTGAGCATCAGAATGGGGAAGAAAGGGGATTCAAGTGACTTTGAACATGGCATGGTTGTTGGTGCCAGACAGGCTGGTCTGAGTATTTTAAAAACTGCTGATCTACTGGGATTTTCATGCACAACCATCTCTAGGGTTCATAGAGAATGGTCCCAGAAAAAGAAAAAATATCCTTCTTGAGGTCAGAGGAGAATGGGCAGATTGGTTTGAGATGATAGAAAGGCAACAGAAACTCAAATAACCATTTGTTACAACCAGTGTATGCAGAATACCATCTCTGAACGCACAACACTTTCGAACCTTGAAGCAGATGGGCTACAGCATCAAAAGATCACTCCAGGTGCCACTCCTGTCAGCTAAGAACAGGAAACAGAGGCTACAATTGGCACAGGCTCACCAAAATTGGACAATAGAAGATTG